TAAATAATTTGATTTCGAGCATAATTTTCAAATCATGCCATTAAAACAAGTCACCTTGATAATGCTTGATGAATTTATTTCTCAAGCATTAAATTATTATTGATTGGCTATTAAAATAAAGGTTAAACATCTTGTTGCTCATGTTCATACTCAAAAAGGTTTAGCAAAATCATTTATCAAAAGGCTCCAATTGATAGCTAAACCATTATTTAAAAATAAAACTCCCTGTTTATGTTTGGGGACATGTAATCTTACATGCGAGCAATACTTATTCGCATATAACCCATAAGTTATCGAAAATTCTCTCATCTTCGATTGATTTATAGTCATGAGTCAAATATTTATTATTTAAGAATTTTTTGACATTGCAGTGTATATCTTTAGTGCTCCTTCATAAGAAAATAAAATGAGTACTTAAAGGAGACTGAGAATATATATTGGATTTGAATCCTTTTTTATAATTAAATATCTTGAATAATGAATAAGTGATATTTTTACGAACTTAATTTATTGACTCGTCATTTTGATGAAATAGTTTTTTCAGCATTATAGGGAGAGAATAAACAAAATAAGTAGTTGGAAATGTTGAAAAAAAGATATTACATGGAGTACTCTATCTTTATATCAATTTGGTACAAAACAATGTGAACTAGAAGTTCACAAGGTAATTCGTTTATAAGGTATTATAAACCAAGTGTTAGATGTATTCTCATATCCTAAAAGAGTAAATAAAATACATTTTCTCGTTGAGAATGCTTCTATTAGAATTGATATCCCATAAGGACAATCTATTAATGTTATAGCTAATGAATCTAAAGCACGCATGAAGCGTGGAAGACCGATCGGTTCTAAAGATAAAAATCCCTAAAAGAAAAGGACAAGATGAAAATATAAAGGATGTAAATATTCACAAAACGGTCTAAGATGTTTTTGATAATAGGCTTTCGGAAGAAGTCCAAATGCTTAAGAAAAATCAAAAGATTTTGATAAATTATGTTAATATATGAAGAAAATAGGACCGAAGAGAAATATTTATTGATAAAATTTTTGTATGTAAAGTTAAAATTGATATTTTGAATGAAAATAAGGATCCCGAGCCTAAATTATTAAAGAATATTGACATAAAGATGATTGGCCTAAATGAAACGAGCAATCCCGACAGAATTATGTTCTCTTACAAAATAATAGTTTTTTGAACCTATAGCTAAAACACCTAAAGATTTTAAATTGGTGAGATACAAATAAGTATTTATGTGAACACGAAATAAGAAAGATGAGATTGTAAGATACAAAGCAAAACTTTCAATACAAGAGTTTTTGCAAAGAACTAACATTGATCTGTGAGAAGACATATTCTCCTATAATGGATGCAATTATATTTTATTATCTTATTAGCTCGATAAAAATATATGAAAAACATTCATATGCATGCATTTAATGAATATGATCATAATTTATTTGTTCATTTGAGATGAATCGGTATGAAAGTTCATAGAAGGACTTAACATGCCGGAAACATGTAATATATATTCTCGAGAAAATAATTCAAATAAATTATGGAAATCTTTATTAGGATTATTTTAGAATTTGTTTTATTGTTTTGGTTTTTAGAAATTCAATTTATACTTTTTATATTTTATTTTTATATCTACTCGTTTATTACTAACCCATATGCATGTGATATAATTACTTCAATGATTATTTATTGAAAGAAAGTTATAAAAAATAACCCTATTTGTTCATATATTTTTATTTGAAAAGGGGTTTTGTTGTATATATTGATAACTTAAGTATTATTGGAACTCCCGAAGAGATTCCAAGTGTCATAAGTTACCTAAAAAGAGAATTTGATGTGAATATCTTGGGAAAATAAAATGTTATCTCAACTCTGTAGTTCGAGCACTCGGAGAATGAGATTTTCATTCATCGATCAATTTATATAGAAAAAGGTTCTACAATGATTCTATATAAAGATCATTCATTGACTAGCCCATTGGTAGTTCATTCACTTTATATCCAAAAGGACCTTTTTCGACATCGAGAAGATAACGAAGAACTATTTGATCCTGAAGTACCATATTTTAGTGCCACTGATGCATTGATATATCTTGCTAATAATACTCGACATGATATAGTCTTTTCTATAAATTTGTTAGCAAGTCATAATTATGTTTCAATATGGAGACATTGAAATAAAGTTAAATATATACTACATTATCTTCGAGGAAAAATTGATATGGGCTTATATTACTCCAATAAATCAAAGACAAGATTAATTGGTTATGCGGATGTAGGTTATTCATCCGATCTACACAAAGCTCGATCACAATGGGTTATATATTTACATATAAATATCCAGCTATATCTTTGTGTTCTATAAAGCAAATTATAGTCGTCACATCTTCAAATCATGCGAAATATCAATTCACTAGGCAAGTCGAGAATGTGTTTGGCTAAGATCAACGATCCATTGTATCCAAGAGACATACGGTTTATCTACCAACAAAAGAAGTTTCAATAATATCATATGAGGATAATGTTGGTTGCATAATTCCATTGAAGGAATAATACATCAAAGTGATAATCCAAGCAAATTTATTCGCTAAAGCATTACCTATCATAACTTTTGAGAAGATGATTCACAAGATTGGAATGCATCGTCTTAGAGATCTTAAATATTGCATTCAACGGGGGAGACCAAAATGAGAATTAATGTGTGCAAAGAATATTGTATTCTTTTTCCTTCACTAGATTTTTTTCCCACTTGGGTTTTTTCTTAATAAGGTTTTAACGAGGCATGTTTCTTGTACAATTGACATTCGAGGGGAGTGTTATGAAATAATGAATATCCATCATCATGTTCATCCACTTTTCATATCTCCACTTACTCATGATTCTTGATATGATTCAATTCATCATTCAATATGAGAAATTGAAAGGGTGATGCAATTGATTATTCATAGTCCCTTCAAATTCTCTCATCAATTTTAAAGCCTATAAATAGGTTTGATTTGTTCTTTAGTTGGTGTATAAGTTTCCTAGAGTGAATAAGAGAAACTTTGAAGTTCTTATCACTTATATTCACATTATAGTGATTTTATTTTCTTGTCATCATTTTCTTCAATTCTCATATTATTTCTATTTCTTTTATAAAACGATATAAAATTTGTTAAAACAAAAAAGTTGAAGATTAAAGGATATCGTTACAAATGAGTAAATTATAATTACCATTTATTTTTGAAAAAAATAAATAAATAATTTTTTATTTAAAAACTAATTATTCGTGTTGATCATATTTAATTTAATTTCAAAAATATCATTTTTTCCACCAACCATTTTATATTTTTACTTCTTTTTTCTTTTTCTACTTCTTAAAACAAAATATAAATAAAAATTAATTAAATTAAAAAAATATATAAGAACTAAATAATTAATTTTTGAAACAATAAAGATTGATAAACTAATTTATAATTTACTCTCGTTGTAAAGTTATCTCCAAGCAAATATCGATTGTTGGTTTCAATTCTAATTTAATTTTTAGAAGAAATTCAAAAGTTGGTCTCGAATTCCCTTTGGAGCAAAAAAGAGAAACTTTTCCTTGCAAGAAAAGATAATTGCATAGAACGAATTCAAGATATAGTAAAAACATTATATGGCTAATTGGGTTATATTTGATATATGGGTAACGTTTATAATTTGTCACCTCGTTTATTTAGTTTGGTACAAGTTTAAGGAAGGAATTCAAAGAGATTAATCTTTACGACATGTTTGGTATGAAGTAAATGAACAGTTGTCTTTGTAGCTTTTTATCCCATTTACTTGTGTTTGACAAAACCTCTCATTTTACACCATAAATGTATATTATTTAATTTCTTATAATTATATTTAGTTTAAAGTTTGATTTGATTTACATAGGAAACAATTATTATTCTAATATTTTTAACCTCTATCAAATATTCTAACACCTTACTTCTTAACACTTTTTACATCTGTTAATACTTAATATTTTTGGATTGTATTTGGTTCAAGGTTAAAAAATAATTAAAAGGTTAAGTGTTAAGAGATTGTGTCTGTTTTAAGGATCTATATCTACCTCCAGCAACCCTTTTCATCGTTACTCTCTCCAATTATATATATGTGTGTGTGCATTTTCTTCCTTCTTTTTTAAAAAAATTAAATACTAACTTGTTTTTTAAAAACTTCCCATTTCGGACCACAAAAAAAAAAAAAAAAAAAGAAAAGATTATTTAAGTTTTTATATTTTTATTAAATTTAAAGTTTGATTCTATAATTTTTTTAACCATGTACTTTTAACATTTTATTCTTAAACTTTATTTTTTTAATATTTTATCTTCAAATGTTTCACTACCCGATCTTATATTAATAATTTTTATTTTTTAAAACCATAACATATACTTCCTCCATCTCAAATTAAATGGCTATTGCAGAAAACAATAAAAAATGATTTATTCTTAAAATAGAAGAAACAATTATTTTCATTGCACATCATAGATTTTTAATTTTATATAAATCGAATGAAAATTTTTTATTTTTTGATTTTTTAAAATAAATTATACCGTTACTTTTTTTTGAGAGGAATCACTTATTTTATAATCTAGGAATATCAATTTATAAAATCATTTCTCACACAACCTAAATCTATTAATCATAAAAAGAAAGACATAAAAAATCAGAAACCAAAATTTTGCACGTTATATAACTATGGTATTTAGCTCAAATTCCACTTCATCAATCTAGAGTTAATAATAATAAATAAGAGAGAGAGATAGAAATGTTACCCATGTTTTGTTTTACTTTCCACATACATCTACTTGGCCTCGAACCCTTTCATTGCCATGAATCAGATCTAAGGTAAGCCGTCACACCATATCACCCCCGCATAAAACGACCCCACCCCAATTCCACTTTACGTTTCGTACACCCATTTTTTTTAATCTCTCAAACCCTCGTCTCCGCCATTGCAAAAAGAAACCACAAAAATGTCAGACTCCGAAACCACCACCACAGTCTCCACCACCGCACCGCCACCAGACGACGACTCATCTGCGGCGGATACGAAGAAGCAAGCAAGCAGCGGCATTTCTTTTAGCATCTGGCCGCCGACTCAACGCACTCGCGACGCAGTTGTCACCCGCCTAATCGAGACCTTATCAGCAACTTCCGTTCTCTCCAAGCGCTATGGTACCATCCCTCACGAAGAGGCCTCCGAAGTCGCCCGTCGCATTGAGGAGGAGGCTTTCTCTGTCGCCACCACCGCTGCTTCTTCCGAGGACGACGGACTCGAGGTTCTCCAGCTTTATTCCAAGGAGATCAGTAAGCGGATGTTAGATACCGTCAAGGCTCGTGCTGGATCGGGGGCTAATGGTGATAATAGTGCGACGGAAACAGTGAGCGCCGATGTGACGCCGACGACGGCGGCGAGTGAGGAGGTTTCAAGTTCTGTTGAGACTGAAGCTTGATCTTATTAGGGATTTTAGCTTCACATTTGGTATGTTTTTAGGGTTTTTTTTTAAAAAAAAAATTGGTGTTTACTATATTGAGATCTGGCTGTATTAACTTATGGTTTTTGATGATGATTATATAAGGATAATAATTTAGTAATATTATTACCTAGTGTTTATTCTATTTTCTGATTTTAGTAGTTTTGTGTTTTCATATTTTTAGTATTTGCTGGTCTATTTGTGATCATGATAGTGTAAATGAATTGAAAATTTAGGTCTCGTGAGCATTTTTATAATTGATATTATAGAATATAGGCCACTGGCGTTTTAGACGTATGTGCATATTGCGTGGGTGTGTGCTCGCTGGCTTGTGTCGGAATTTGATTTAATAATACGCCAAATGTGGTTTTGTTTATTCAACTGCGGTTTCTTATAGCTAAACTCTCTTGTGTTTGATTTAAGAGCTTAAATTCGAGAATTTATGGCTTTTCACTTTTCACTCATCACGAATTTCAATTGGGGCATTTTGTAGAATCCTGACATATAAAATCACTATGCTAAATTGTGGGAGGGTATTGAAAACAAAGAGGAATTGGATGCATGGTGAAATGGGAAGAAACAGGGGAAAAAGAAAAAATGTTGTGAATCTACAGATTCTTGTAATATTTCCTCAGTCAATTGGTGTTGTGAGATGTCTAAAAGAAAATATGATTCCTCTCCTAATGAGTGGGAAGACATTGTTATGTCAGGCAACCCTTGACGACACATGTTGTGCTATTCTCGTGAGATGATATTGTGCGTGCCAAGTCTTCAATTTTACTTGGAAACCGTAGAACCTTTTGTTTCTCAAATTTCTAGAATGCAAGCTCGTATGATGGAGTGTCGATATGAAGTCCCTATGCTAGTTGTTTTAAAAAATTCTGTCTTTGGATAGTAGAACCCGTGGAAGTTTCTATTGTAAAGAATTTGGTATTTATAAAGTTTTCTACCATTTTTTGGGTTGATCCAAGTTTCATCTTGGTTCCTATAGTTGTAGTTGTTCCTGTGTTAACCCCGGCAGTCTGAAATTCCTTTTTAACAGTCTAGGACTCTAGGCATGAGCTACTGGTAAAGTAAATGGAAAGTGTTTGTCTCCATTCCTTTCTGCATCATGCACTGATCTTTTTGTGTTGGGGCTGCGTGACAGTTTTCAACTTTTGAAAATGGTTAGAACTTAAACATGCCACTGTTAATATCACTGCAGGCAAAAGGCAGCCATGTTTGTTATGTTTTCTGGAATTTAACTCACTTAGTATGACTGCAGTACGAAAGGCAGCCTATCTCACTGTTTTGTGACTTCCACTTCTGCATTTGACCTAGTAATTTATGTGTTTCATTTTTATTTTTTTTACTCGATCCTTCTGGCATAGTGTCTTTAGCAAATGTTTTTGTTTGGTTTATATTTTTGTCATAGTGTCTTTAGTAAATATCTCTTGTTTGGTTTATATTTTTGTTTAAGCATGTTATCCATATTCTGCTCTAATCTATGATGACCCGCCTCTCCATGGTACATTTACTCGGTTGCCTGGTTTCTTTGTCAGTGGAATAAAATTTTAATCCTTGGAGTGGTGGATATGCTTTCTGATCCTGTTGTTATGCCCATGGTGTGTGTCAGAGTAATGATTGGCTGCTTTTTGGTTTTAGGAGGATAAGCTATAGGCAATATAGGTTAAATGGTTTACCAATACTAAGCCTTGGTGTATGGTCCTATTAGTTTGGTAATATTGTGACTTTGAAGTTTGGAATCTGTTTGAATGTGTCATGTTGGATGTGAATGAGGTTCCTGTTTCTTTCAAGGCTAGGAACTTCTATACTGTGGTTTTGTGTACATGCTTTAACTATTACATTCTCCTCAACCCTGTGATTCTGATTCGTTTGGATTATTACACTTGTTTATGGTGTTTTATCATGGGATAACAAAAATGTGTCTTCTTAGATTTCAGATTGTCCAGTCCTATTGTTCTTCCATCTCCCTAGACATATATTATTGCACTGCACATCTTAGATTGCTTGGTGTTTCAAAGCCTTTAAGAGCAGCAGTTCAAAAGCCACCCACTCAATCCTCACTTCCGAGTTCCAACTCTATTGCATTTCTGAAAGGACAGATTAATTAATAGTGCTGCCTTTTCATCTAGTATGTGACTAGTTAGATACTCACGTTATACTATGGATAAACAATCGTTACATATGTAGCGTTAACGACTCGTATAGTATAATACGAGTTGAAGTTTTATTTCGATGAATAATATAAATCGAATCTATATATAAGACGAAATCGTTTGATTTATATATATTAACAAAATATTTGATAATATTAGCACAAAAATTTATATTTGAATAATTGCGATGTTTTTTAAAACACTATCTAACTTATTTTATTTTAAAAAACTAAAATATATATAAAAAAAATAATAAATAATTGGTATTATATGTATGTATGTATGTATATTATATTTAACGGATTCATAACATATATAATAAATAAATAAATATATAAAAAAAATCTATCTAAATTGTATGAAATACATTGAAGTCAATAGATTAAAAATTATAATAAAATTGGTTCGATAAATATATATAAAAAAACAAATAAAACTAATAATATATATGTGTGTGTGTGTGTGTGTGTGTAATAAATACATTGAAGTCAACAGATTAAAATAAAAACCACAACAAAATTAGTTATGATAAATTTTGAATAAATATACATAAAAAATAAAATAAAACTTATGAATTTTTTTAAAAAAAATTGATTCAAACTATCTAAAACATACTTATCTCTCTCTCTCTCTCTCTCTCTCTCTCTCTCTCTCTCTCTCTATATATATATATATATATATATATATATATATTTAAAAAATAAAATACTCATTTCAAAAGAATAAAAATAATTTATTGTATAAATTATAAAAAAATAAAACATTCATTTAAAAAGCATAAAAATAATTTATTATATAAATTATAATAATATATTTTTTAAAAATAAAACATTAATGTTCTAAAATTTTATTCCAAAATTCATATATTAAAAAATAAAATTATATCAAAAAATTAAGTCAATGAGAATTTTAATAAGAAATAAATAATTAAAAAATAAATTTTAAATAATAAGAGTAATATAATTAGATATATATGTTCAAACTAAAATCTTAAAAAATATAATATGTATTCTATAACCTTCAAACTATATGTAAAACTGAAAAAAAAATTTATTTTTTATATTTTTCACATCTAATTTTATGATAATATATATATATATATTAGCGATTCGTATAGTATAATGCGAGTAGAAGTTTTATTTTCGATGAATAATGTAAATCGAATCTATATATTGAACGAAATCGTTTGATTTATATATATTAACAAAATATTTGATAATATTAGCACAAAAATTTGTATTTGAATAATTGCGATGTTCTTTTAAAACACTATCTAACTTATTTTATTTTAAAAAATTAAGATATACAAAAATAAAAAATAAAAAATTGGTATTATATGTATGTATGTATGTATATTATACTTAACGACTTCGAGCATATATAATAAATAAAAAATATACAAAAAAAAACTATCTAAATTGTATGAAATACACCGAAGTCAATAGATTAAAAATTACAATAAAATTGGTTACGATAAATTTTGAATAAATATATATAAAAAAATAAATAAAACTAGTAATATATATATGTGTGTGTGTGTGTGTAATAAATACATTGAAGTCAATAGATTAAAATAAAAATCACAACAAAATTGGTTCTGATAAATTTCGAATAAATATGTATAAAAAAACAAATAAAACTTAGTCAAACTATCTAAAACATACTTATCTCTCTCTCTCTCTCTCTCTCTCTCTCTCTCTCTCTATATATATATATATATATATATAATCGAAATTTATAAATTATAATAATATATTTTTAAAAATAAAATACTCATTTCAAAAGAATAAAAATAATTTATTGTATAAATTATATAAAAAAATAAAACATTCATTTAAAAAGCATAAAAAGAATTTATTATATAAATTATAATAATATATTTTAAAAAAATAAAACATCAATGTTCTAAAATTTTATTCCAAAATTCATATATTAAAAAACCAAATTTATTAAAAAATAAAATTATATCAAAAAATTAATTCAATGAGAATTTTAATAAGAAATAAATAATTAAAAAAATAAATTTTAAATAATAAGAGTAATATAATTAGATATATATATATATATATTCAAACTAAAATCTTAAAAAATATAATATGTATTCTATGACCTTCAAACTGTATGTAAAACTAAAAAAAGAATTTATTTTTTGTATTTTTTACATCTAATTTTATGATTATATATGTGTGTGTCTATATATATATATATATATATATATAAAAGAGGCCGCGCTCAGGCTTGCGCCTGGTTGCTAAATCTTGAAAGAGCCAACTCTGACTTCTCATAATGTACCTCAGTGCGTGCACCTCTGTATATATACTTTTACACAGAGACCAGGCCCGCGCCTGGTTTTTAAAAAAACAAAAAACCAAAAAAAAAAAAAGAAAGAAAAAGGCCAAGCGCTGTGCGGCAGGACAGGCCAGCGCGCTTGGGCCTGGGAGTGCAGGCCCGCAAGCAGGCCTTGGCTGCCTTTCAACTAAAACAAAAAAAAAAAAAAATCAATGCTACAGTAGATGAACAGTGACAATTCCAGATCTTTTAGTTTTTTTAGTAAAGTAATATCCTTTGGACGAAGTGGATTTTGCCTGAACAAGCATTTCATTGCATGGAGCTATATTTATCCAGTTGGTTGAAATGTTTTGAAAGTTTGGCGCTGATGTTTGAATCTTTGTATGATAAGTTGCTAACCTAATTCAAAAGATATCTACTGTTGGCAATTTGTACCTATTTCAATGACCTCACAGAAGTTGTTCACACTACAATCTAGTCAAAGACTCGCATTTAACGATATCCTACATGCCCAATCAAGGTTAATTAATCGGAAATTATTGATGTGCGGCAATACGAAAAGGATTGGCATGGGAAGTTTTAGATTGTTTTTGAGTGGTTACCATCATACTGATCTCTCTTTCTCTTGTAGTTGCAAGTTGTAACCTCGAAATTAATACAGTTCTGTATTTTAATGTATTTGGGTATAATTTTTGCAGGCATGAATATTAATGTTACCCTTATAATAAATTAATTAGCATAGATTCTTGTTCAGGTCTTCAGGTTGTTCTTACAACATTGAAGTTTTTGATGTGATTTATACTCGATGCCTAGGAAGAAGTAAATTCTCGTGCAGAGTCTCTTCGGAATTCTGTGTTAGGAGCATCAGTTAAGCGAACGGACGACAAAGATTTATAGAAAAGGACGGAATTTGCCAGGTTCAGTAGATATGTCACAGTAGCTATGATGTTTTAGCCCTTTAACGACAACAGACTCTCGTTAGATGGAACAATTGCGTTATGAATGCATCAATTTTTATTTTTTTAATTAAATATATAAAAATTTTTTGTTTGAGTATATAATTTTTTTTAAAATTACTAATTAAGTATTTTTTATATGTTTTTTATTAACGGATGGTGTGTCCGTTATCATTAGAATATCAAATTATAATTTTATTTATTTTTTCAACGAAGTATATGGACTTTAATTTTTTTCAAATTGACTATATTAGTTTTTTTAAACTGACAATCAAGTGTTTTCAACAATTTTTCATTAATTAATGACATGTCTGAATACTAAATTATTTTTTTCCCTATTTTGTTATAAGAAACTTTTTCTTTAAATTATTTTATTATTTTAAAATTTGACTAAGAGTGAAAAAAATTATTTATAGATATAAAATTTCTGACTAACTTTAGTAAAACGTGCTGTAAAAAAAAGGGTTCAGTTTTGAAGTTGAAAGTTAAAAAAAATACAAACGTTTGATTTTTTTATCGAAAAGATTTATTTTTGTTTTTTATAATTTTTACTCTTAAACCTAATTGAGGTTTTTTATTTTTTTTTTAACAACAAGTCAATTGAGTTTAGTTTGGACTTTTTATAGATAAAAAGTAATATTTTTTAATTATTTGTCAAATTTTAAAATGATAAATTAATTTAAAGAGAGTTTTCTTCAATAAAAAAGAACAAAATTATAATTTCGTATTCGAATATGTTATTAATTAACGAAAAAATTAGAAAAATATTTAATTGATTGTTTTGAAAATATTAATGTGCACAAATAAAAAAAATTAAAATTCACATATTCGATTAAAAAAAATTATAATTTAATATTTTAAGTGTAAAATCACATTATCAATTAATAAAAAAATAATAAAAATACTTGATTAATAATTTAAAAAAAAATTGATGTATTCAAACTTGCGGTAAATTCGGATTCAACTTTCACTCCCACCAAAACAACGATTTTTAACTCTCGCGGGACTTCGATGTGCAGCTGCAGTTGTATTCCCAAGTTTTTTGCCAGAACATTTTAGTAGGTGCTATTGAAAAAGTTTGTGCCCAAACTATAATTTCCAATTCATTAGAATTCAATCGCAAGCGTGTCAGCCCGTTTGGTGCCGTTGTCGGCTGTCTACTGCATTTGCTTCGCATTTTTTTTTTTTTTTTTTGAAAAAAATTAAGTTGGATAAAGTTAGTTGGGGTTTGACAAATAGTGATATGTATGGAAATTTGAGGTTGCCAACAAGAACAAAGATAGTTGTTAATTTGAAAGCATTTTAGCTACTCTCTCATCAATCAAGTTGTGCACTGTGTGAATTGATTTTATGATATAATCATAATGCGCAAATAATAGGTTTTTCTCCTAAGTAATTCAAGGAGGGAAACCCAAGACATTGTACTGCATGTGTTAAGCGCAAAAACTTCCCAATTTGTGTTTCTATATTATTATTTTTCTTTTTATCACGGCAAATTTGGTGTAATAAAGCTAAACAGTGGGCAAGCAATAAGTTGTGCATATGAAACAGCACCTTAATTTTATTGCAAATAGAGTCAAACATCATGTGCCGAGATGGTATTTGTCTGCATTCCATCAGGATCTTCTTTTTGACTAGGTGATATTGTGTACAGAATTGTCCAAGCAAGAGAATAAAGCTCTTCGACTTTCCAAAGGTATTGGGACAACTTTACTGACCGAATTTACAAGAAACCAACTCATTATCGCAAGTACATTTCTATCATTTTTCTTTATGATTGAATTTTAAGGGAAACAACACTTAGGTACTGTGCTGCTGAGATTTAGTAGATCCCCTGTTGATGGCATGTATGCATTTGCTGTTCATAATTGCGAAGAAGAAATAGAAGTATAAGCCAAACCGTATCCAAAGAGTCTCTATGTAGTTTCTTTATCTCTAGCACTACAAATTACATGTACTGGTCTATAGGATTAGTCCTTTGCAAAAAAATAAAAAAAATTTGCAGAATCCTGGCAAATAAATAACCATAGAAAAAAAAACATGGAAAAAACAAAACAAAACAAAACAAAAGGTACAAAACGAGTCCTGAAATCTGAGTGTTAATGGCCAGGGCCTCTTTTGCTAGGTCCAGATGCCAATTTAAACATCAAGCTTCTCACCGAAGAACGACTGCTGGAGTTGTTTGAAGAAACAACAAATGAAGCCATGCCCATTGATTCTTTAGTTGCATCCACTTGCTCGGATCCTGTGGTAGTGATGGTGCTGGTACTTGAACGAAGGGCCCTGCAATGGACGACTCTAATCTCTGGCGACAGCACCAATATTATTAGGCCTAACACAAACCAAAGGCTCTTCACTGAGCTCCCTTTTGTCATTGAGATCTCCATATCTTTAATTTGTTTTGAATTTCAATCTCTCACAGAAGGCCAATCGTCGGAATTTGTTTTGATCAGTACTGATCTCGGACACAAGGCTAAATTTTTAGTTTGTAATTGTGGTTGGGCTCCGTAAGTGCAGTTGATGCACATATTTATAGCTACCACCGTATGTTTGTTAAGGACGGTGAGGCTCTTTGTCGAGTGGGACCATAACAAGATTATTTGACTTGGCAGATGCTGCCCTTTTCTTGTTTCCCTTTCCCATCCTTTTTGTGGTTTTATGCAAGACAAACGTTTGGTTGAGGACTAGTAGGGGTTGGAGGGATATTGAACTTTTACTTTGAAAATGTTCGTGCTGTTTCAATTTGACTTTATACGTACATTTATTCAAGCTCAAGTACATATATTACATAAAGTCGTGAAGAAGATTGGAAGAAAGTTCACTGCGTTACACATACATGTGTGTGTGAGCGGTACAATATTGTGCTTTTTTGCATGGTTTCACACGGTTTCTGAACTCTGAATCAAAGCGTGTGTTTACATGTGTATAACGCGGTGATGTTTTAATTCGCTTCTGATTCTTATAATTTCTTTTGTCTAACTTTAGAAAAGTGAAAAATCTGGGATATGGCATACGTCGATGTTAAAGGCCGGTTCTTGATAGTTTTTAAAAGCAAAAAGGTTCGCTATTGAACTGTCACTCCCTCCGACTACAAGACGGTGCGACGCTAGGCAGTGGTCAAGCTGGGAGGGGTCCTTGCTAGGCCCGTATATGATCAAGCAACAAATTAAATACTCATATTGAAAAGACAGGATTCTTCCGTTGGCTTAGAAAATTTTCTGAAATATATAGTTTCAGTTTTACTAATAACAAAGCTTAGCTAGCTGTCGCTGTTGGCAACTTTTCTTAGTAGCTTTTCGTTCTAATGTCAAAGAAGGACATGCTTATGCTCGAAGTTTTCAACATTCATTTTCAAACCACATGCTTCTTAAAATGCGGTTAGACCACTTGGAAGATTAAATTGTTTAAATCTATTAGTACTCTTTATTTACCCATAGAAGGATTGACAAATAATTTTGGTATCAAATGATATCAAGTCTACCTTGTGAATTTTACAAACTCAATACTGGTTGCTAGTGTGTTATATTTTAATTAAATTATTAATTTACATTTCTTTTTGGTACCAATTGAGACATTTGTTGTATGTATGGAATAAAGTAGTGATTGACAGTTCTTCTCTCGCGTAGCATGGAGCATCAAACTACGTCAGCATCAAGAATGCAAGATGAAGCCCTTTAACACTTGTTATACATGGCTGTCTTTGACGGGTTAATTACAAGGAAAATATTGCTGTACAATTAATGTGCAACTACGTTGGCATACATGCTACCACTATCCTGATTAGATCATAGATTGAATGTTTAAGCTATAAATTCTGTCATCAAATTCCAGGTGACATACTTATTATTAATTAAAGGTCATCTGATATCTTTTGCCTTCTCTGACAACAATATCGCAGTAATAATAGCACTTTATAAGGATGAAAGGTGGCTTTCAATAATCAAAAGTGTCAGGTACATCGCATGCATGTTTCAAGTCCCCGGCCGCCCGCTTCGTTCACGTGTGTCCATAGACATTACTGTCATAAATCAAGTGTCAATGTTTTGATCATATTTCTGCTTCAACTATCAGCAGAGTGTCTGGGGGAATAGTTGGACAGATACGTTAATTGCAATCACAACATTCATTTCCCAATCAATTATAACTATCAATTATTTAGACTGATGTCAAAATATGCTAGGATAAGGCATTTTTTTTTAGATGTGTTTACTGGCTACCCAGTTACTATCGTACCGATCAGATCAGCTAACTTGCAGCCAAAACCGGGTTCTTTATGCAAGATTTACGGGATTCAAAGATATACTAAGATACCTGCAGTTGTAAGTCACAAACATATTTTCGTGTTTTTAGTTTTTTATCGTTGAATCTGGGTTGTCAATTCATCATAGTTAAGTAGAGAAGTTTACCAAACGAATTCCTCGTTTATATAAGAACATTATTTTATTTGTGAAAGTAAAAAAAGGTGAAGTAACAATTTAATCGAAAAATCTCTTAACCCCTAACTCATGACATGCCCTTTAAAAAAAAGGACTTGAACTAATGGGGATTTACATATAAAAATATAGATATATACTACTTCAATTTAAAAGTCTAGATTAATAGATTGCGAATTTATTTTATATATAAATACCTCAAATTTCATATTCTTAACATACGTGGAATTCATCATTCACGTGTAAAACTCAATAAAAATCTTTTTTCACATCCAAGACTACTCTCTCTCTCTCAATATTTACCAATCTGAGGACAATATTCAGAGTTTGGAGTTTAGTTCTTTTCCTAAGTCATGGCAGGAGCCTACCCTCTATGGTCACCGGCTCCACTACTAATTGTTGGAGAGATCTGATATGGAGAGGCACTTGTATCTATATATGGACTTGTGTGTATGATGATTTACACACAAGAATGGATACCATTTTAATAAATCATGAAAGTATATCAACTTTTTTATTTTTAATCGAAGTAGAAATTTTCACTCGCATGTAAAATTCAACATAAAATCAGTATACAATCTTTCTCGTTATTTACTGTAGGAAACAAAAATGCTATATCCACATTCATAATCCTTATTTTGATCTCATATTAGGTGATGATCAAGTCTGCGACCATAGAAATGTGCATTTGATTTTCATACCTCTTTGTTCACGAATACAACAAGGAGCAATTAGCAATCTTATCACAAGAATTTCTCCTTGTCCTCGTGTAACATAATTAAACTCCTTAATAATTGTTTCAAAATTCGACGTCAACACATTATGGATCATGCGTTTAGGGGGAAAAAGAAATTGTAGATCCATATCTAAAATGGTACCATCAAGATTCTGATGCTTGTGAATTTTAATATTCATATTTCTTAATCCGAGATGCGTGACGGACAATAATTCCTGCAGAAGTTCAAGAAATCTTGGAATAGGCCGGCAGGAGGCGAATTAGCCGGCACTTGACAGGTTGACAATTAATTGTGGATTTGTGTTTCCATTTAGCTGAACTGGCAAGCGAATGGCTTTGATATCATTGATGACCGAACCAGATCCTCTTCTCGTTCACGGGGTCGACTCGAAGAAGAAAGAATATTTCATTTTTCAAAAGAACCCATTTATAATAGCGGAGTTGGTAAACATAGAGCTCTCGCAAATTCCATATTATTATTTTAACATTGGTCTGTCTTACTTAAAAAGTATATGAGCAGAAAACATGCAATATCATATAGAGACCATATCTATGAAGTCTTACCTAATCTTTATCTAAAATCATCTAAGAATTTATGGTATTTCGAGCATACCAAATTAGTCCATTAATAAAGGAATTACAAAAAAAATTATGTTCGGCAGGTAAAACTGGAGTACTATTCTTGTGTTAGGAATAACATTTTTTTTCTTGGGTAGTTGTCTTAATTTTATATTCACGTTTGATCTCATTAGTAAATAGTAGTGGTTGTTAAAATTTCTCTGCTTTAGGATGGAACATTTATAATTTTGTTATATATTAAAAAAAAAGATAAAAGAAAAAAACCATTAACAGATTTTTTATTTTTTATTTTTTATTGTATCATGAATCAAAGTTATTAATTTGGATTTAGCTCCCCTTAATTCAAATTAACCCTTAATTCAAATTAACGGCTAGGATTTTGTTAAGTAAATTTTTAGCAAAATTAAATATTCTAACATTAAATAAATAGCAAACAAAAAAAAAACCTATTTTGAAACTCTATGTGAATAATTTTGCAAATTAAATCTTAATTATATTCTCACATTTAGGCAATTTGTTTAACTGACTTCGTTATTAACAAAAATAAACGTAATTTTGACTAAAATGTTCCACGTACTTAATTTTAACTCACTAGAGCATCACATGGCATTCATGTGAATCTCTCATAATCCCTCCTCTAAATAACATATTTGAAAGGAAAAAAAATAAGAAAGAGAATAACTTGTAAAACTTTTGGTATGTCTATTTTATTTATTTTAATTTTTAATTTTTTTAAAAAATTAAAGCTAAACCTATTTGTCAAAATTGTGTTGCATGTAGCTAATATTTCTTCAGATAAGCAAGTTTTAATATAACAAATAAATTTATGTTAACAATTGAGGATATATAGTCGGGTTGAATTATCGAAATATAATGATTATAGATTCGAATTCGTAAAATTATTTACACAATGTCCAAATTGTCAATTTAATACAAACCCCAAATTGGGGTTTTTTTCTAAAAAAAGAACCATTTTATAAATATCAAATAAAAAAGGAAGCATTTAAATTTGGAAAAATAATTGATATTTAGCTTTCTCTTCCTCTCTCCTCCACAAAATTCATGCAAAAAGAAAAAAATCTTTTAACCAGTAATTACATTTCTTAAAAAATTCAAACCATGAAACAATGATAAACAATCAAGAAGATGAACGCATATACTCTTTTTGCTTTTGTTTTTGTTTTTTTTTTGAAAAAATTCTTGAGGAAAAATTTGAACATACATTCGACTTCTCCTGCTTTTGATGGATAAATATATGTATTATTTATCCGTTTTACATCTCTATTTACATGGACAAATTTGCCATGACTTTGTTGCTAAGCCTCGTATTTGTTATTCAATAATGCTATAATTATTTACAAGTCATATTTCAAGAGTAAATTATAAATTAGTCTCTTTAATTTCAAGAAATAAATTAATTAATCTTTTTTATTTTAAAAATTAATTATTTAGTTTTTATATTTTTAAATTTTCTTATAAATCCATTCTTTTTGTTCTTTTTGATTTATTTTAATTTTTTATTTTAAGAAATAGAAAAAAGAGAAAAATATGTAAAAAGAAAATATAGAAAATTTTGATGAGAAAAAAAATAACATTTTATAAAATAAAAAATATTCAATTAAGTATGGCCATCAGTGAT